TATGTTTTACATTCTGAAATATTTCCATAATGCTTCTATGTAGTGTGTGTTTATTTTTCTTTGAATAATAATGTTAAAATGTGTCTAATTCAATTACTCTCTGCATTTGCTGAATGAGTTTTCCTTGGTGAAGGGCTCTCCTATGCTACCCCAAGCTACGAATTCCATATGATATTTGAACAGGTCCTTTTAATTGCTGATATTAAGTGTCGATCATTCTGCTGTGAGTTGGCAGCATGGCCAGAGAAACAAATTCCTCTCTCAGACACATCAGACAGTCATTCAATTAACAACCAAAGCTTTATTGACACAGTGGGAATTCATTATGTGAAATATTAAAAAAAGCCCTCCACTGACTAGTTAAAAAAAAAAAAAAAGTACTTTTAAAGATGGTGGATTATCTGCATGTGGTTATTAAAATTATTTGTGCAGCATTTGAAATTATGGTTACGATGGAAACATTTTTTCTCAGAGGCATAAGCAGCATTTTTGTTGAAAAATAAGTTGGACTTTGAAAAGATGACTATAATGTATACATCCCTATTTCCACAGACATTGTGCATTTTCTTGATTAAAAGCCTTAGATTTTATGAGTTATGGCTTTAGACTTGCTGCATAAAGAGCTTCATGGCTTATTCTGTTAGTCTAATTTGAAAGAAAGTTCTTCCTCAAGGGTTTAAGAAGTAATTCATAAAATGGTAAGAATAATAAATATTGTGCCTTAACTCATACACTAGGATAGATAGACAGATTTTGTACACCTGGGTGTAATTTTAGTTAATTCACACAAGAGACAGGCTGAAAGTTTATTGTTTGGAAGGAGAAAAATGGCTTAAATCTTGTATTTGCAAAAATGATTATATTAGCTTAAATGAAAATGCTACTCTATTAATGGCTTCAATAAGCTTTGCATTTGGAAAAGTATTTTAATAAAAAGTTACCTGAAGTTTACTGCAACTTAAAATATGTAAGTGAGGGAAAAGTACTTACCTTGATTTATATGTCTTTTGGAGGTGTAATTATTGGCTTTTTACTCACCTATGTAAAACAATGTACTTTTGTAAATGGATTTCTGGCCACTTTACTCCTTTTTTTTTTTTTTTTCCACATAAAAAATAAGCACTGTCAATCAAAGAATTTTAAGGTTTATTTCCTCTTTAGAAATGATTGATAGCCTTTTAGATTTACAAGTTGACAAGTTAAAGGGTTCTATTGGTATAATTATGTACTAAATTCACAGTCTTTCAATTTAAATGTCCTTTTAAAACCACAAGATTATCATACCTGTATTTTGAAAAGTGGGCCAGTCAGTTTGGGTTGGTATACAAATTGCTTCCATTAGCCTTGGGACCTATTTGAATTTAGTACAGTTTTTTAAAGTTAGTAGTACTTTCAATGGTACTTTTAAAATATAAGGTAATGGGAATGCATTTTAAGTACCATATGTGTTAGCTTGTTTTTAATGTAGGGATGTCAAGAACACAAATAGAGAGTTTATATTTCTGATTGATTCTTTTTTTCAATCGTGGCAAGAAAACTGTTGTTTGAATTAAAGGGCTGGGAGATGCCTTATTGTGGATGGACTTGAGCAGCAGAGCCCAGTACTTGTACTGGGGCAGAGGAAAACCTTGCAGGGAGGTGGAGTCTGACCTTGTAGAAACTCTTCTGCAGTGCTTGGACATGAGAATATTCCCTTTTCTCTGGGGTTTTTCCATCTCCTGACACACAACTGGTCTGGTTTAATGCTGGTGGGGGGGTAAATATGTGAACAGATCTCTTTCATTGAGAGATGACTAATTATATTTGGGTTGTAAATGAGCAAGGAATGGAGGGCTGAAATTGCCCAATCTGTGGTCAGATGTCCAGATAGCTAAAGATTTTTTTTTTTAATTTTTATTTTATTTTATCTCAGATTGAAAGGTTGAAGGGCTATAGACTAATGAGTGGTATTTAACAATAGCAGTTTAGGACCCTTTCCTGAAGATTTCTGTGTGCAGCCTCTCCCCACGACCAAAGTAAAGCTGAAGCTGTTTGAGACAGAAAGTTTTCATTATCTCTCACAGTATGCTTGATGCCTTGTGAGACTGGACTATAAAATTAACATTTTTTTTTTTTTGCCATTTAGTTCAGAAAATACTCAGAGGAAATACTCTGTGGATTTCAAATGTGTTGAACGTGTAGGAAGATATGAGAAAATGACTGCTAACTCTGGGGGGATTTCAGAACTGGCCTCCATTTATAATATTGCAGAATTTAGTAACTACTTTCCCAAAGGATCTAAAGGGAAAATGGCCATAAACTAGACTGAATTAGAGGAGAAACACATTTGACAGAACTACAAGAAATTCTTCGAACATATTTGCAAAAGAAATATAAATTTGAGCTGTAGGGTTTTGGTTTTTTGTTAATCTTCTCAGAGAACAGCTATTTTTCATAATAAATATAAATAGCAGTAAATTAATTTATTTGTAAAAGGTTTAAACTAAGCAGCCTTGTAAGTAAACCTTGTAAGTAAAGAGATGAGGAAACCAGGGGGTTCCAAACCAAGGGACTCTGATATTTTCTGCAAAAGAACTACACAACAGAGAGGTCAGTGTGGGCCAGGGTGTGAAAGGAAATGTAGGAAAAAAAGGCCCAACTATCCCCAAATCAAAAAGGGCCCAAGCAAGGGAAAAGCCTTATACTCACTCCATCCATATAATGATCTGGATATAAATAAAAGATCACATTCAGATATTCCTGATGAAAGGAAATGCCTGAAAAAGCCCCAAACAAACAAGGAGACTGCAGAGATGTCATTACCTCCAGAGCAGGAAAAGGCTCAGAATGTAAAACCCTGAAGGATTTCTAGTCTGATGTCACCATAATACTGTAGGACTAATTTCAGGATATGGTCAGAGGGTTCCTTTCTGATGTCAGAGGAATGCTGGACCATGTGCCTCAGCCACACGTTTGTGTTTCACTGTGTTGGGCAGGTCTGGGTCCCTCAACATCACCTTCCTCTGCCTCAGGCTGCAGCAACATTGCTGGATTTGCTTGAGGAGATGGGATGTGCCAAAGGTCCAGGAGGAGATAGAAATCTGACACTTTGCTTGCCAGCTTGATAATCTGCTGTAGAAACGTGATTTGAATATAACAGAAATTTAAAGGGATTGTTTTGTGGGCTTTTTATGGAATAATTAATTACAAACAAGACAGGGATTAGATACTGCTTTAATGATAACATGAAGATTTTCAGGAGTGTGGAAAAATGTTCTCCTCACTTAAAACATGGAAATATGGACAGGTTATGCCATGCTGAGGTTGGGAGATAGAGTTTAATGCTAAATCTTTTTGCAGTGTTCAAATATCGTTGTTCTAGCCACATAATAAAGTTCATAATAAGATCTTCATAAAGGTATATGATATATTCATAAATTAATAAGAATTTGTGCAGGAAATAATATTTTTTGGTATTAATAAGCTAAGAAAAGAGAATAAAAACTTTCAAGTGACTCAAAAATAAAAAAGGATAGGTTTTTTTTCCTGCAAAAAAGAGGCTGAAAATATAAAAAGCCACATTCAATTTGACTTTTTTTTCCCATTTAACTGAAAAATTCAAACAAATTGCTGTGGAATAGTCCCATATCTCTATTGGCATGGGAGAGTCAAGATGTGCTGTTGTTTAGAGATGCTTGAGAATACTTGACTGTTCCAGTTCACCAAAGCACTTAGGAAATTCTAAGCACATGTTGAAGTCTCACTAACATCTGAGTTTTAAAGTGATCATATGACTGGAAATATAGCTAGAAGGTCATTCAGTGCAGTCCCCTGTAATTATAGGCAATCATATAAAAAACATAATATGCTCGAATTTGCTTTGCTGAAAGCAAATGGGTTTAAGTATGTGCTTACAGATAAGCATGTGCTTAAAGGCTTGACACAATCAGAGCTTCCATTAATGCAGACAGACCAGCATTTTCATGAAGATTAAAGTGTTCCACTTTCACCATTTCTCACCTCCATTTTATTGGACGTGGTCTAGTGAAAGATGAACTAAAAACATTAATGTTTTGGGTTTTTTTTTTAATTATTAAGTCTCCTGGATCAGTTTAGTGCTGATTGGAGCCCAAGCTGCTGAAGTTAGTGTCAATGAGTAAAAAATAAAACCTCTGCCAAAACAATTGCCTGTATTTCACAACAAAATTATTTGTGAACATTGCACATGGAGCATATTAAAAGTATAATGAAATTTGGAACAAGAGAGGCACTGGAATAGTAACTACTTTTGTCTTCCAATCACCTTCTTCGTAATATGAAAAACCCAACGTGAAACATGGGGTTGTCTTGGCTTTAAAGACCCAAGGTCTTTCAAGGCCAAGGTCTTTCAAGGTCACCAAGGTCTTGGTGTCTGCCAAGAAAGGCAGGAGCCTCTTTTTAAAATGGAGAATGTAAACCCCTTCCCTCCAAATTATTATAATTTTGAAATTAAGGGAGCTCTCAGGCAAAGATATGGGAATAGGAATAACAGTTCTTTACTAGGAAAATTAAAATAGAAATACAGTATTACAGAGAACAAACTCAAACACTGACAGAGTCAGAATACAACCTGACACCCCATCAGTCAGGGTGTTGGTAGCAGTGCCATTAAATGGTGGCTGCAGTTCTCCTGGATGACAGCTGTGGTTCAGTTGAAGCAGTGCTCTTGCAGAAGGGTGCATCCTGCATTGCAACCTAAGACAGGGGTGTAAAGTATTTATCAAATTAATTTCATTGCCTTTCAGAGATAAAAATTGCTTCCTGCTTGGAAGATGTAAGCAACATCCCCAGATCTTCCAGCAGCTTTGCTGGAGGAGCTGAAGTGGGAAGGTTTGGATTGAGGTAAAAGGAACAACCTCAAGCAGAGTTTGGGCCAAGACTCCAGCCAGTGCTGAGTTCAGCCGTGGTCCTGCCTTTGCCATTGTCACCTGAGCCCGTTGTGTGCCTGTGTCACCTCACGCTGTTGTTTGTTGTTGTTTCAGCTCTGAACGAACCCACCATTGACTATGGTTTCCAAAGGTTACAGAAGGTTATCCCCCGGCACCCCGGTGACCCCGAACGCTTGCCAAAGGTCAGCACCAAGTTTGTTGTTTTATTAAATATGGGAAAGATGGTTACTGCGTGGTTTTGTCTGGGAGTGCAAGGCTCTGTAAATATGATGGTCCTGGTTTGGTGCCCAACCCAGATAAGCTGAAACAGAGGCATGACCAAGAAAGCCCAGTCAGCAACTGGAGCCTTAGGAGAATTCTGTTATTTTCTCAGTCACAGTGAACTCAAACAGCTCTTGCCTTTCTTAAACACAAATCTTTCTCTGTGTTCTAAAATACGTAACAATTAACATCTTTTTTGGTTACTATTTTGAGACCTGAGGTGTTTTCATAGAATATGATGCTTTTTGGTTTTGGTATCAGTAGCACATTGCCAGCATAATTTTGAGAACTTCACCATTGATAAAATCAAGTTAATTGGATGTGACTCCATTGTTTCTGCATCGTGTGTTGGTTTAGGATAATAATGATTATATACTGTTTTGTTTTGGGATTGCTGATTTAATTAGAGCATTGTGTGCTGAAGTGATGTTTGTTCCCATGAAAATGAGGTTTTTTGTTGATTTCTGTCAAGTAAAAGCTGGGGGAAAGACAGCATTGTTCAGATAGATTTCTTGTACTGGGAAAACACTGGGATTGCACTCAGATCTGTTTTTGCAGTGATTTTAGTGGTATACTGGAGGAAGAAGTGGGGACTGAAGTGTTGCTCGTGTCCACAGGAGCTCTGAGCAGTAGTGATGATCTGGAGTCATTGGCTGTGGCCAGCTGCCACCACATGTTTTATCTGCTGTTATTGAGTGAGCTGGGGAGTCAGACACCCCCTGTGGAACAGAAAATGTGAATTTGCCAACCTGAGACACAGACAGATGAATTGTTCAGTTAAAGTATATCTGGTATAGCCTTTGTGACTGGGCAATACTTGTGACCTTTCTTCTGTAGCTCCCTGAGCTGTCCACAGCTTTCATCAGGGATTGTTATAGGCCTTGATGAGTTGCATTTCTAAAGTGTTTGAAGGGTGAGAAGATTTCCTGAACACTGGAACTTAATTTGTTTAATTCCTTGAAAGAAATAAAATTCAGTATGTGACTTTTTTTACAGGCTTGTTCTGACTTTTATCTTTGCCTAGGAAAACTGCAGGGAGTGGTTTTGGGGTCACTGATGTGTTGTCCTTCTCTCTGCCCACCAGAGAAACATTCTGTCCTGGAGAGTTACATTTACCATTGGCTCTGTTCACCCTCTCAAGCTGTCCCTTTCCCTAACATTTGGACAGACTTGCAGCAGGACACAGCTTTCATGGCTTGTCAAATTTCACTCCAGAGGTGCAACCCTTTCCAAAGAAAGAGAGCATCCTTCTGTAGGGGCTTTTGTTTTTCACCTCTGTTCTCCCTCTGCTGCCAAATGTGCTTTTGGAGGAAAAATAGTTTCTCAGAAAAGAAGAAGCCAACCTTCGCTATGCACCAGGCATTTTCAAGACCTAAAAGAAATGCTGCAAAACCTCCCTAAACCCAACATTCTAGCTGGCTAGTAGGTGGCCATAGATTTTATTTAAATCAGGAAATTCAAGTAAAATAAAACTGGGCAATTCCAAATTGAGTTATGTGGCCAAGGATTGTGGTGCATCACCAACTTCCACAGGAGTTGGGCTCCCTTTTGACTCCCGAGGCACTGAGGGGGTCCCCAGCAATGCCCTTTGTGCTGGTGTGGGAATGTGGGAATGCAGCCTCCAGACACAGCACCCTCCTCTTTCCCATTTGGTTTGAGACTGGTCCCACACATTCCTGCTGCCTGTAATGAGGCAGAAGAAAGCTTCTCCTAGCTCCATATCCTGACTCTGAAATTTAGCAGGTATTTATGGATAAGGTATGAGAGTGAGGGTTAGCACTGAGTCATCTGTCCCCTACTATTCTCTCTTGGCTTCATGTGTTTCTTTGGAGTACCTTTTAAACTAATTTTTCAAATCTTTAAATCAAGGGAAATTGTGGTTATGTCTGCAGAGGTAAGATGTGATGGCTTTAAAAAAAGAAGTTACTTAAGGTTTGGACAAACTTAGTGAAGAAACTGGTAACACTGTGCAGGCTTAGAGGGAAAACTTTTTTTTTTGTCTTTGGGTAGTTCCTTCTGTGCAGGCTTGAAGGTTGGACCTCAAGTTCAAGTCTCATTATTATGCCATGCACAGAGGCTGAATGCAGCAGGGGTTGGCACATGTCGACTTCTGTATTTGAGGCACTGATGGTTCAATTCCCAGCATCACTTGCTGGCTCCAGGATCATCATCAAGGACGCCCTGAGCCTCTGTGCTGTGAGCACTGCACAGTGCTCTTCCCCATGTCATTAAACCAGGAAGGGCTTTGGCACTATTCCACTACAGACAATTCTCAGTGGCTACTTAGAGGAGTGTTGGAAGCCATATGGCTCCCACAGTGGAACCACGGGCAGAGAGGGCAAATGTTTGAGAGAAACAGCAGAGAGGAGAGCAGTGCTCAGAGCTCTCAAAATCCTTCCTTCCATTTCCCCCTTTGTCCTGACAGCACATCATCACTTTCTGTTTGTGAAAAAGCCTCGTGCCTTTGTATTAAATAAATAAAACAAATCATATTTCTCTAATTGCTGCTGGGGTTCATGGCCATTATTCCATTGAAACATTACTGATGAATTAGAGATCTTCCCAGAGGTAGAAGTGGTTATCATTTTTGTGTTCATAAGAGCATGCTGCCCTTCCCATGGACCATCAAGAGCATTCTGCTCTGTGACTTATCCCTGCAGTCAAGGAGAATTGTTGAGGTCATCAAGTGTTAGCACATGCTCTGCCCTCCAGAGCTTAGGAGTTAAGAGCATTTCTAAAACCATTGAGGCTGTTTGAGAAGTTTGATCTGACGTTTAGAACCAGTATTTTCAAAAGTGCTCAATATTTTTGCTCAGGATGAATTTTTTAAAATGTTCCAACTATCTGCTGGAAGTGGGCAAAGAAAAAAAAAGAAAAGACAAGTTTTAAAAAACTCCTTTCCAGTGCTTCAACAGGCAAGTTCCAGTAGAGAATGCCCTCCCACAGTGAGGAGAATGGGAGCACGTGGAAATGAGGGTCTTTGGACTGCTAGATTGACAGCTGATGTGCTTAAAGTAGAAATGCAGTATATAGTTTCTGGAGAAAAGAGAGGGAGCTGATGTTGGCAGCTGAGCTCTGGAGCCAGCTTGAGCCAGGATCCTGTTCCCTTCTTGTCCAGAGCTGGTCAGGGAAGGCAGCCAGTGGAGGGATGTCACAAGGAGAGGTGCATGTCTGTACAGACACCCCCACACCCACAAGCACCAGGAGGAGAGACAAGAGGAGATGGGATTAGCACCCAAAGCTTGGAGTGAGATCAAGTACCAGGAGTGTGCTGGGCAGTGTAGACTTTCCTTTCTAATACAGACAGGAGGCAGATCAGAGGAAACAGGAGATCTCTGGGGATAAGAGGAAAGGAACAGTGTGATGCTAGGGTTGAAATGGTGTCATTGTCCTGCAGGAGCAGTGTGTGGAGCTGGGAACAGCCCTGAACGTGTGTGTGCCCCATTTCCATCTCAAGTGTTTGCACACGTGCACACAAATGCACTCGTGTTGTTGGTTCCTGTGCACAAAAACTGCTCTGGAGATCACTGAAGGGTTCAGATCACAACAACATGTTGAGTCTATTAAGGTTCATTCATGTAACTACCCTGCAATCCTTAAAATAAATCCCTGGCAGACACGTTGCAATTCTGCAATTTTGTTAAAACTCCACAGCTAGAGCTGTAAAACAGCTTCAGCTGTGAGCTAGATTTGAAACACATCCATCCTAAATGATTTAATAACAACGATTCCTCTTTATATGCAATTTCCTAGATTTTATTTGCCATTTTCACCACTCCTACAACTCATCACTTGTATTTAGATTAAGCAGAAGATTGTTCACTCTGTGTTTCAGAAGCGAGTCGTTGCATCAACCCCCTCTGTGATCTGACGTCCTCTCCCTCCCAGTCTGTTCCCTCAGTGCTCTCTAGGAGACCCCTTATCCCTCCTGAAAGGGACCTTTACTTCTGGTTTCTCTTCATGTAGATGAAAGTGGAGCTTCTCTCTCTAGTGCACAGGGGCCTCCCTGCTGAGCTGAGAGCACAGGTAACCAGGATCCTCCTTCCCTTCAGCTCCTTTTCTCTGGTCAGTCATTAAACCCCCCCAAAGACACAGCCCACCTCCTCGTTTAGGACACTAATAGAAGACATGTGGTTATTAGGAATCAGAGGATGGCAAAAGCAGTTGTCTTTTTCCATATGAAATCCCACAGATCTGCCCTTTATCCATTGTGACATGGGTATTGTTTACATTGCAAATAAAGGTTGTCTCTAAACGTGGGTGGTTGGCCCAGGCTTGCTAGCAGAGGTTAAAATAGCAATGAAGACAATGCAGCTCGGGTTTGCTGCTTCAGACAGACCCAATGGAAATTCCAGAAAGGATTGCCATCTACTAACTCAACATATACTGTATTTTAACCTAGGTTAGTAATTTTCAGCTAAGAAAACACCTCTTTTTGGGTTTTTTGGGGTTTTTTTGTTTGTTTTTTTTTTCTTTCCCATCCAGTGTAACAAGAGAATCATTAGAATACTTTTATACTAAGTATGGGCAGAAAGGGGGGGCATGTAAAGAGGAGCTATTGGGGTTCATCTGTACAGCAGGGAGGTCATGGGATATGCTTGGAGGGTTTTACATTCTACTGTAAAATTTACAGGGATGTGAGACCAGAGTTAAGGTTGGTATTGAACCCTCAACAGCTGGGGGTTTTGAAGTTTCCTTTTGAGCACTTAGTTGGTTGAGGAGCTTATTTAGGGGGTCTGATATTTTGTTTATCCTATAGAAAATATTCAATGAGAGAGCATCAGAGCTTCTTTGATGGCGAGGTACCTGTGAAAGTGTCACCCTTTTGGGGTGGTGGAGGTCAGAGGGGTGTCTGGGAACAGGCAGAGTCTGGAAGGAGAGAGCAGAGGGACAGAGGCACGGCTTGCTGAAGGGCAGAGCC